CAGAACCATCTGAATGCCTGCAACAGGCACCCCAGAGCTTCTGGTACACGAAGAGCTAATTAACTTGGTGCAAATATAGCTGCTGCATCCCTGTTTTGAGACCCACAGACCAGAGCCGTGCTCTCCACACAGCAGCCACCCCTGGACCCAGCAGCTGAGCACAGCAGAGCAGGAGGAAGCCAGGCTGCTGTCAGGGGGCTCCAGCTCAGGCAGGGAGGCAGAATTAGCTGGGCTTTCCCTCAGCTGACTTTTACCTGGAAAGGGGACAGCTGACAGAGGTAGCAGAGAAAAGAGTATGTGTCTTATCTCATCTGTATCTTACAGGACTGTTGAACTTCTTTGTGTTTTGGGGCTAAAATACAAACCTTTCTTGGATCTTAACAGGCATTCCATAGAAAAGAAAGGTATGTGTCAAAAAAAACAGCAGGAAAGGTGCACAGGCAGTGTGTGCAAAGCCTGCTTTGTTCTGCCACAAGGTGCCAGCTCCCCTGGGCACGCTGACTGAACAAACTGGCACTGCCAGCAGCTCTGAATTCCAAACACCCAGAGACTTTCTGCCATGCCCTTTAATTTTGGCTCAGCACAGCAGCTTCTTCTGCAAAGCCAGGAAGAGTAGCAAAAAGCCAAGATACATTATCCATATTTATGTTTTCCAGCATTGGTCCTTCTCCAGATATAAAAGTGCTCTGTGCAAATTTTTATTTCTAGAATAAACTGCAACTTCTTCAGCACTTCCAGAAAGAGAAAGTTACTGTTCTGCAAGGTCAACACAGCAGTAAGTTCAGTTTTTAATCACAGCAAGGCACCTAGCAGGATTTCCAGGAGGACATCCACCTTTAGCTCATACTGACTGGGCTTTTTGGTGAGTCTTCCTTCACATGAGGTGCTTAAACAGGTTAAAAAAAAATAAAAAGTTTACCCTCTAGTCTTATGAAGTTAAAAATGAGAGAAAATTTTAAGAACGAGCATTTCTGTACAAACAGTATCTTAAAAAATATTATAGCATTAGAAATTTTGTTCTGTTGATTTAGGGAGTTTCTCATCTGATTTTTCAGCCCATAACTCCCAGGAACACTTTTTTCTTTAATTAGAATTGGCACATGAGATTTCAGAGGAAATGGCTTTAAGAAAACTGGACGAAGCAGGTTGAAAACTAGGCTTAAAATAGAAAGCTAGTTCCAATTTTTAATGAGGAAATATTCTGCTGTTTAGTAATTCAACCTACCCAGTGCTTTTTAAAAATGTTAAAGGCAACTGCTCACGTTGGTGTCCTTCACTTCAGACTGACCTTTAAACTGAATATATGCAAGATAGTGCTCAATAAAAAATACGTTTGTTTCTCATGAGAATACATTTTATGCATTGCATGGCCAGTTCTGATCTCAGAAAGAGTAATAAAAGCACTGTGTGATCAGTGGAAGAGCAGTTAGACATACGACAATAAAGCACTTCCCAACAGACAACTAATCCCACAGAATCACAGCATGTTAGGGGCTGGAAGGGACCTTCAGAGATCGAGTCCAACCCCCCGATACTAATTCACCTAGTACTTGATTTTAAGAAAATAATCTAAAGGCAGTTCTGCCCAATTGCAATTCAGTTCTGAGATCCACAAATAAATCCAAAGCCCACTAAGGATCTGTGTAAGCATCCAGGTAGCACCTAATCTAAGTGTTCCTAAAAATATTGTAGCAACCAGCACTGAAATATGTCCTGAGCGTTAGACCAGAAAACTCATTTGGATATCAGTAATGACAAAATTGCAGAGAGATATTTGTAAAACTACGAGTGTGACATGTTTATCAGTTTATGTGAACTGTAGTTCTATTTTCCTCTTGCTTCATTCACAGCGAAATGCCTTTTATAGTTCACCTCTGCAGGGGGGAGAGTTTAGCTGTGACTAGCCCACCATTTTCTTGTATTTTACATTTTGTCTCAAAATGTCATACCATCTAATCACATAGACTGTGTCCTAACCCTGCTACTCAATTAAACTGACTGTGCATCCCAGCCACTGAGCCTCTCCTAGCAGTGAGATTCCTGGAGCTCCTCTGCCAAAAAAGCTGCAGGACTGGGAAGGGCTTTGCCAGGAACTGATCTCTTTGAGCAGTAGGTGACAAGCCTGTGGTGCAGCTATTATGCCTGAGCCACGGAGGGCCATTTCTTCCATGGCTATTTGTCCAACACTCGGTGCCTCCACTTGACTTGAATACTAGGCTGTGACC